TACAGTTACTATTTATTAATGTTGAAAAATACTTTAATGACCAACAAAGATCATTGGATTTGAAAGATAAATCCTATTTACCCAACATTTTACCTAGAATAACAGCTAAAATATGGCCTGTTTTCCCTTTTTTCTACACTTTGAGGAATGATGTATGCATTTCAGGGGTCTAAGTGTGAGTGAGAGAACTTTTCTATAACATTGACTGACATCAAATCATATATTATTGAGAAAGTCCCTCCTTTGTGTTTCTCCCTTGAGAAAGCAGCATTCTGGACACTAATCAACTCTGTTATCATTAGCAATTTGGAAATAATGATCCCTAAAGTCTTAGGAAAAACCCATAGCCAGTGTATTTTATTTATTCTCATTGGATTTTCTCCAAGGATAATTGCATAAGAAATATTTTCATTCCTGTAGGTTGTGGGTTTTTTTTATTTCAGTGATATTCACTCTAGGAGATAAACTCTAATATGTTAATGTCATGTCACCAGTGACTTTCTGTCCATGCTGACAATATAGTTACATGATCTAGAGGATGTAAATAATTGCATGAGTCTCTTCCATCATCTCTCTCCTGAGTTGCCTCTAGTCCCATATTGGCCCTCTCTCAGTTGACTACTTTCCTGACTGATTCCCTGTGACTCTCTTATAGATGACTTCAGGAGTCTGGCCAAAGGTCTGAACTTTGTGCATCTTTGTTAAAAATAGTCATTATTCATACTGTGAAGAGAACTGTGAGGGGAAATGTTAGGAGGAAGAGAATTCTTGATCTTTTTGGGAAAAAAATGAGGAGGGCTGATTTTCTTGTAGACAATTTTTCCTTTCCAAATGTCACTGGATAATCTTTATATTTCAGATTTGAATAGTTGCTTTTTTACAAACTATTATGAGATGATATTATATGTGCACATACATGCATTGATTTGTGACAGCTGTCATTAGATTTGATCCAAGGGTTCCTTTCAAACCACAAGTCATACTTGAGCTGCAGAGCAGGCAAATGTCTACCAATCTGACCTCTACTATGTAAGCTGTCTCTCAGCAGATTGAAGAGAGTGAAGTCACCCGTTGAGATAATCAGAACAAAAATTAGGGTAAGTAGAAGGCTCTCCTAGGAAGATTACTTATAATCTAGATATCATTAAAATATTTTAAAGATTTATCATGACCCTAGTATGGAAGATGTGAGAGGAATAAGTCTGTTATTTAGGCATTATCTGTGATTCTTGTAGACTCATAGCATATATGCCAATGATATTCTCCTTTGTAAAATTAATTCACTAGTTTGTGGTAATCATTTCTTTTTTTTGTGAGGGGTGGTCCGGTTGTGGGGCCTGAACTCTGGGCCTGGGCGCTGTCCCTCAGCTCTTCAGCTCAAGGCTAGCGCTCTACCACTTGAGCCACAGCGCCACTTCCGGCTTTTTTCTTTTTGCTTATGTGGTACTGAGGAATCAAACCCAGGGTCTCATGCATGCAAGGCAAGCGCTCTACCACTAAGCCACCTTCCCAGCCCTAGTGGTAATCATTTCTTACCATATACATATATCAAAGATATATGTATCCATAATGTATATGTATACATAATATATTCAGGGTTTTTTGGGGTGGTTCATGGGGCTTGAACTCTGGGCCTGGGCGCTGTCCCTCAGCTCTTCAGCTCAAGGCTAGCACTCTACCACTTGAGCCACTGCACCACTTCCAGTTTTCTGAGTGGTTTATTGCAGATAAGAGTCTCATGGACTTTCCTGCTTGGGCTGGCAGAACTCAACCTCCTGAGTAGCTACGATTACAGGCATGAGCCACCGGCACCCAACAATATATTCAGTTTTTGTTGATTGTAGATCAAGAAAGCTGAGGAAAAAAAAGATTTCAGTAAATATTGTGATCATGAATGTTTACAAATTAAAAATGAACTCAACAATAATTAAAACAATCTAACAAGTTATCAAACTCATTGAGTTTTAATATCATCTTTTGAGTACCTATTATTTCAATACATGTTACTTGGTGAATTTTTAAAGTCACTGAAAAATAAAATCAATTATAATTATTTTTCAAGTTGTATCTGTGTTCACCTTCCTATCTAATCATGTGATTTTAAAATTTGGTACAAAATTGGAACATTAGTAATCCCTGGATTTATGTTTATGATTAAATTCATGTTTAGGAACACATTCCATTTTGCAAGACTTTAAATTTAACATGGATTCTAAAATTTTTAAAGTACACAAAATTTAATATTTTCTTAATTGATGGGAATAACTGATGTTTAATTTCAATCTGGTAAAATAATTTGCAGACTAGTGACTAAAGCTGAAATATGTCAGTCTGAGATATATTGGTTTTTTATTCTGAGCAGTATTAAGGAAGTGTGTTAAAAAGTGTGAATCTTTATGTAGAAAATGAGAATCTATATGGCATATTATTTGGGGTTTTCTGAGTGGAACTCTTTTCTTAATTATCTTTAAGTAGTTGGACAAAGGGGTTTCAATTCAACGTGTCCGTGAGTTCAATGCATCTTGTTTGACAATTTATTGCATATTGATTAAAAATAAAGGAAATATACAGTAAATACAAAGTACAAAAGAGTGGGGGTAGAGCTCCCCTATGACCCAGCAATCCCACTTTTGGGCATTTACCCAAATGTTTACAAACAAGACCATACCAAAGTTACCAGCATTATTAACCATAGCTAAGATATGGAACCAACCCAGATGCCCTTCAGTAGATGAATGGATCAAGAAAATGTGGTATATATACCCAATGGAATTCTATGCCTCCATCAGAAAGAATGACATTGCCCCATTTGTTAGGAAATGGAAAGACTTGGAAAAAATTATATTAAGTGAAGTAAGCCAGGCCCAAAGAAACATAGGTCCCATGGTTTCCCTTATTTGCAATATCTAGTATATGTATGAGTCAAGCGGAAAAGGTCAGTTAAGTTGATGTTAGGCGAAATGAACCCCAAGATAAGGATTCAAATGTTTTTTCATTCTTGAAATTGTTTCTAATATATTTATAAGATGATTTCTTTGTTGGATGGGTGGGTGGCAGATGGGAAGGGATGGGAAGGGGAAACAAAGGAGGAGGCAACAATGCTTGATAAGGAATGTACTCATTACCTTGCCCATGTAATTGTAACTCCTCTGTATGGTATTTTTACAATAATAATAATAATAATAATAATAATAAAAGAATGGGGTTGAGTTGAATATTTTATATCTTCTATAATCTAGTATACATTAAGAGGAAGACCTTCTCTTTATGGATATATCATTATTTGATCCTCCAAATTACTAAATATTACCAGCTGGCTCTAGGACTTGTTTCAAAACATAAAAAAATTAAACAAATTCATTAGTCATTAAGAAAGGCTAACCGTTTCACAAATAGTATACAATGCATCTTGATCAATGTCACCCTTTTATCATTCTCCCTCATCTCTCCCAACTCCACTCATCTCCCCATTTTACCTGGTTGCATTTTCACATATGTATATTGAATATTATCTATACACATCTAAACATTTGGCATCAGAATTAAATTTTTTATAATTTACTAACCCCCATTTTAGTAAAGTTTTACTTTTTATAATAAACAAAATTCTGAACAAAATGACAAATTCATGGTTTAATTTTCCTAGAAGTAAAAGTAAATAAGTTATTATAAAGGAAGAGAATTTGGAATCATGGATGATAACATCATAAAAACGAATAAGTAAATAATATGATGAAATATGTTACAATGCAAACTGTTTCTTTCATTTAAAAAAAAGAATAATGGCAAGTGAAATGACAGAGATATACTTTGTCTTCTTATGATCCTATCAAATGCCAATATCATGTCTTTAAATGAGTTAGTGTAAGTGACTTTCCCCTTACTTTAACCAAAAAAGCATCATGTAGCTATGTGTCTCAACAAATGTATTATCATCTGAGTTTGAGTGTGTGTGTGTGTGTGTGTGTGTGTGTGTGTGTGTGTACTTATTAATTCCTTAGAAAGGCAAAATAAAAATTTAACAAAATAAACAACAGGAAACAGGTACTTGAAAGGGATAAGATGGGATTAAGGAGATGAAGAGGAGGAGAAGAGAGGGTATGGCCAAAATTTTAGTGTATATCCTACAAAATTAAGAAAAGTGAAGGAAGGGGGATAGGTTGGAAGGGATGGGTTGGAAGGGATGGGTGAGAATATTAAAAGGGGTGACATTGGATCAAAACACATTGTATTCATAAACTGTTTTGTTAAATGGGAACTCCTTTATGCAACTACTTAAAGATAATTTTTAAAGGAAGTAGGACATTATTGATCTTCCCTGTATACTGAAATACATCTGCTTCTGACTCTGTATCACTCTGATTAAAAAATCCAGTGTAAAAAGTATCACATCCTACTTTATCGGTGAGACTTAAAAGACAAGAAACATATTCTATTTGCTTTCCTGACTAATGCCTGACTGCATTCCAATTTATTTTGTTATGAATAGCCACTCAAAATACTTTAAATAATGGATAATTAAATTCATCATATCAATCATCTATATGTATATACATATATACCCATACACATAGAGGACTGATGATATATTAGCTACATATTGTACAATTACATATGGATATCATTATATTATATATCATATATAATTTTGTATATAATTCCTTCTTTTGTATCCAAATCAAATATATATTCAAATGTTAAACTTTTCTTAGGTAGATTATCTTCAATAATAACTATTTAAACAATGTGGAGGAAAGAAAGTGAGACAGTAAAAAAATGTACAATATGTCAAATGTTAATTGAGAAAAAAATGACACCAAAAATGCCTTTGTGTTTAAGAATATCTTTTTAGTAGTCACTTATTTCTTCTCTGTGTAACTTCAAAGCTCAAACCCTCATCTAAAACTTTATGCCAAATATTGTAGATAAACAGTAACAATGCTTTCTCTAAACTGAATTCTCCAGGAATTCCCACCTTTTTCTCTTGCCTTAGAAGACAGATGGAACAAAACAATGAAACTTCTTGGGGCGATTTTATTTTGCTTGGCTTCTCAGACCAACCTCGATTGGAAGTTATCCTTTTTATAGTGGTTTTGACATCCTACCTTTTGACCCTTGTGGGCAACACAGCCATCATCCTGGTATCCTACCTGGACTCCAAACTGCACACCCCCATGTATTTCTTCCTCACAAATCTCTCCTTTCTTGATCTTTGCTTCACTACCAGCATTGTCCCTCAACTACTATGGAACCTGAAGGGACCAGCCAAGACCATCACATCCACTGGCTGTGTCATCCAACTCTATGTGTCCCTCTCCTTAGGTTCCACTGAATGTGTTCTTCTTACTATTATGGCATTTGACCGCTACGTGGCTGTGTGCAGGCCTCTCAGTTACACTACGATCATGCACCCATCATTTTGCAAGGCTTTGGCGGGAATAGCCTGGCTAAGTGGAGTAGGAAACACTCTTATCCAAGGCACCATCACCCTTAGGCTTCCTCGATGTGGGCATCGTCATCTCCACCACTTCTTGTGTGAGGTGCCTGCCATGATCAAGTTGGCATGTGTGGACATCCATGCAAATGAAGTCCAGCTCTTTGTGGGTACCTTAGTTCTTCTCCTTCTTCCTATGGTCTTGATCTCAATTTCCTATGGATTCATTGCACAAGCTGTGATAAGAATCAAGTCATCCCAAGCTTGGCGCAAGGCCTTAGGAACATGTGGTTCTCATCTACTAGTTGTATCTCTTTTCTTTGGGACCAGCTCAGTCATATACATTCAACCAAACAAATCCTACGGTCATAACCAGGGCATGTTCCTCACACTCTTTTACACTGTTGTAACCCCCACTCTCAATCCCCTCATATATACTCTGCGGAACAAGGATGTGAAAGGAGCTCTGATGAGATTGCTGAGGAGGGAACAAAAATTCTAATGGAAAAAAGTCAGGAAATGGTGGCCTTCTATTCTGGATACTTAATAATACAATGTTAAAGAACAACTTCCAAATACACACATGTACCACTTACTTATCTCTCTAACTGTACATCATGGCCACTACTGTCTCAAAAAAGAACATTCAAACTCCAGTTCTATCATGGAAACTCAGTGTCACAGCTCAAAGCAGATAGTAAAAGTGGAAGCTTTCATAGATCTTTTCCACAAGTATATTCCAACATACATATTAAAGAGCTAAAAGAGTGCTTACTGGTAAATTTAAAAATTAAGACATACAGACTCATGTGAGATCACTGTATTTTTAATTGCAAATGAACCCAGTTGTAAAATCCTGCAAATATTTTGTATATATTATCTCTGTTCTTTCATAAAACAATCGCAACAAAACTAAACTTGAAAATGTAGGATGAGCCTAGCACAGTAGTTCATGCTTGTAATCCTAGCTATTACGCCAGGTGAAAATGAGAAGACTATGGTTTCAGGATAGTCAGGAAAAAAAAGTTTATGAGAAGCTCATCTCAAAAATAAGTGGCAATGGTGGCATATGCCTGTCATTGCAGTGGTTGCATCATCTGGACAAAAAGCAAGACCCTATCTCAAAAGAAACCAGTGAAAAATGGCTAGAGGTATGACTCAAATGGTGGAGTGCTAGTCTACCAATCGTGATGTCCTGAGTTCCCAAACCAGCACCTCAAAATAAAAGAAAGAAAAAGTAACAGTGCCTGTAAGCAAAGCATTAGATCTGTGAATCCACGTACAATGCCACTGAGAAGAAAATGTAAACCATAATTTTGATAAAAATTAATAAGAATATTAAGTCATTGTGAATTATCAGACAGCCATGTAATATTAAATACAGATATAATACAATTTCAGATGGATAAAGGCTCTCCCTGGGTGCAAAAATTCCTATTCAATTCTGTTTGACACTTGTTTGATTTACTGAGTGTCTTGATTGCTGTGACTGGAAGGTTTGTTCTGCTCACTAGCTGTGCATAATCTTTTGCTCTTCACATGACCTGTGTATTCTTGTGTATTCAGTCACTTCATACCTTTATATTTTATGCAAAGTGTCAAAAAAAGTCAACTATGGCACTGTTAATTGTCAACTAAATCTTTAAGATTACTCACTTTCCCAAAATAGTGTGACATTCAGAAAGTCTTTACATTCCTCATCCATCCCTCCCTATATGTACTTGGATGGTTGGTTTACCTTGTTTTGTATTTTATATTGTGATATATTTGATTTATTTTTTCCTGGAAACACTGAAACTAATCAAAATTTCTCTCCATAATTTTTTGTATGAGTATTAATGTTCACTTTTGAATCTGTGTTGTAATGAACATGATTGAGATTTTGAGTTAGAGTGGTTAGGCTCAAAGGCCAATTTTACCTATCTCATTAACCTAAGTAGTACTTAAAACTTGTTATGTCAAGTCAGTTCATCATATATGGCAGGTTATGTCCAGACAGGTGAGAACACTTTTCTACCCTCTATGGCTGTTAGAAAAGGTAACTCTTATCATCCAGACAGAGTTTAGCTTAGCACCTTTTACATGTTAATAATTGCTCTCTACTTCTAAACCATTTAAGTGATCCTAAACTTAATGAATTGGTGCCTTTTACCTAATTGATTACATATTTAGTCACTTCTTAAGATCATTCTAACAATCTTTTTATATGACAAATTAACTCCTTTCCTTTGAAAGTCACAATAAACTTTAACTCGGTCCTGCATTACATTTAGATCTACTTTCCATTCACAGACAGAAACTCTTCTCTAGCTTATCCTCTATATCATATTAACCCATCTTTTACCTAACATTGTCCCAATTCAGACATTCTTTCCTAACAAAGACTGAAAATATATAGCTCTGAGCTGAAATGGGATGGTAGCTATGTTTGACCTGGAGAACAGAGTTTTAATTCAAGGACCATGGGTGCCTTCAGTGTGTAATAACTTTCTACCACAAACATTAACACTTCATTCACAGAGCTCATGTGGCCTTCTCCTACCTTCAGAGTTTCTGTGACTAAGTTTTCCAGATGTTATTTTTCATCTTATTTATCTCAATGATAACTTCTATTATTCTACAGGAAGTTTCTGCCATATGTGATGATGCTAGTTTAATATTAAATGGCTCCCAAAATGGTTATGGAATCAATACAAAAGTAATGTAAGTTTTTCAGGCTCTCTACCATCTTTTTAAAGTTTGTCTATCTTCCTCTTAACATACTCACTTTCATCCAACACTCAATTTCCATAGTTTTTGAAGTTTTATTAACTTAAGCATGTTATCCACTATTTCTCAAAAGTCAAAATTATATTTTATCTATTCTACAAAGATGTCCTTACCACTTGATCATTGTCTCTGTTGTGTGTTGTTATATGATAGTGTCATATGAGTAATTCAAATGTCTTTTTTACATCATAAATACAAATATGGGAAATAAATAGAAAAGACTTTATAACTGAGATGATTAATGATGCCAAATGTACATTTTTGAGAAACTAGTAAAACTGGAAAAGTCGTTAGCAGTATTCTACAAGATGAAATAGAAGAAACCAGTAGCAACAATGTAATAATAAATTGAGATATTGTTATCAACTCTGAGAAGAATCAAAAAAGATTATAGAACAGCATGAAGAATGGCATTGTAGCAGCATATTGTAATAGAACCTTAAGAAAACATATCTGTTCTACTGATCTTAAATGACATATATATATATATATATATATATATATATATATTTAACAGATTAGAGGGTTTTTTTCAATTACATTTATTATCTTTAAATCATTGTATGAGGAGTTACTATTCAACTTGTCATTTTATGAGTATAATACATCTTGACCAGTATCACCCTGTTCATCATTCTCCCCCATAGAGTTTTTCTAACTAATCACTGCTATAACATTATGTTATCATTCTTGTGGACCTCAAATTTTATGACACATTTGATTTAAGATCTAATACTTTGATTAAATAATTTGTCTCCTGTATCTGCTATTTTAGGAATTGTGTTTGTTTAGTGTTAGTCTTAGAATAAATTCAATTTGGGCAATATGTATGAGTTTGGGCCAATACATATGATTTTTCAAAATAATTTATAGTTTGAATTCATGTTAGCATATAATTCTAACTACCAACTCCCTGCTTATTTTGTTGATAAAGTTATACTTGATCAAGAAAGTATTTGAAATTTTCCTTTTATTTTTCACACTTCTAACATATGTAAAAATTTCCTATTGACATGCTGAAACTAAACCAAGATGAGTTAAACCAACCCATATTAAGCATCGAAATAGAAACATCAATAAGAGACTTCCCATCTAAAAAAAAGCCCAGGACCAGATGGATTTACAGCGGAATTCTCCAAGGTCTTCAACATAGAACTCACACCAATACCCCTCCAACTCTTCAATGAAATTGAAAGTGAAAGTTCACTATTCAAACTCTTTCTATGAAGCCATCTTAACCCTCCTCCCAAAATCAAGCAGGGACTCATCAAAGAAAAAGAACTATAGACTCATTTCTTTATATATGTATATATATACATATATATTTGTAAAAACACTGTACACAGGGGTTACAATTACATGAGTAGGGTAATGAGTACATTTCCTATTGAGTATTGTTACCTCCTCCTTTGATTTTCCCCTAACATCACTTCCCTCCCCACCCCCTCAACTTCTCCCCCTCACCCAGCATTGTAAAGTTCATGTCCTGTATATATCTCATCATCATAATGTAGACCCATTTTTTTGATGAACATCGATGCAAAAATTCTCAACAAAATTTTGACCAATCAACTTCAACTACTCATCAAAAAGATCATACACCACAATCAAACAGGATTCATTTCAGGGATGCAAAGCTGGTTCAATATATGAAATCAATTAATATAATTCAGCACATCAACAAGGGCAATGATAAGAACCACATGGTTATCTCAATAGATGCAAAAAAAGCATTTGACAAGATCCAACACCTCTTTGTGATGAAGGCTATTGAAAAACTAGGAATTCATGGAACATTCCTCAATGTAATAGAGGCTGTATATGAAAAACCTACAGCCAGCATTATACTTAATAGTGAAAAGCTAAAGCTGTTTCCTCTATACTCAGGAATGAGACAAGGATGTCCATTCTCTTCAATTTAGTATTAGAATGCCTAGCTACAGCAATAAGACAAGATGTAAATTTAAAGGGGATCCAAATAGGGGAAGATGAAGTAAAACTCTCTCTCTCTTTGCAGATGATATGATCTTGTATTTAAAGAATCCCATGGACTCCACGCCCAAATTATTTGAAACTTTGACAAAGTTGCAGGCTATAAAATTAACCCTAAAAAATCAATGGTCTTTCTGTATGTATGACAACAATGAGAAGAGTATGGTTAAAATCAGGAAAGCAATTTCTTTTGTAATAGGCCTACAAAAAAATAAAATATGTAGGCAGTAACTAAAGAAGTGAAGGATCTCTATGATGAAAACTTTAAAAACCTGAAAAAGGAAATTAAAGCAGAACTTAGGCATTGGAAAAACCTCCTCTGCTCCTGGATTGGGAGGATCAACTTCATGAAAATGGCAATTCTTCCAAAGGCTATCTACAAATTCAATGCAATACCTATCAATATTCCAACCTCATCCTTCAATGAAATAGAAGACGCAATCCAATAATTCATATGGAACAATAAAAGATCCTGAATAGCAGAAATGAACCTTAGCAGAAAGAACAGTGCTGGAGGAATATCAACACCAAATTTCAAACTCTACTACAAAGCCTAGGAATCAAAACAGCTTGGGACTGGCACAAGAATAGACCTGAGGACCAATGGAATAGAACTGAAGATCCAGAAATGAACCCACAGACTTATAGCCACCTAATCTTTGATAAAGGAGCTAAAAAAAACAGAATGGAAGAAAGACAGCCTCTTTAGTAAATGGTGCTGGCAAAACTGGTTAAACACCT